ATTTTATATTATACAATTTTATATTATATTATAAAAGTATATTATCTTCTAATCTATAATAAATTTTACGGATGGAATGAAAATATTAAGTCTTGAGGAATTAAATAAGTGTCGAGTTCAATACGATAAAAGTAATACATGTATATAAAAACTCTAGTAAAGAAAAATAATTTTTGATTAAGAAAAAATATAAAATAAATTTCAATATATATACATTTTATAACATACTTACATGAAATCCTTAATATAGTTCGTCCATTGACTTTAAATCAGCATGAAAGTTTATTATAATTATTAAAATATTTTTCACGAAAATAATATAGTAATAACAAAAATAATATAGTAATAAAAATAAATTATACAAGTATTGCAAGCAAAAGAATATAAATAAAATATAAATCCAAAATATTTATAAATGAAAAATATGTAAGATATTACATATCCAATAGAAAAAAAGCAGTTAATAGAGAGTTGTCAATATAATGAATGTTGAACAATCATATCTTGTTATAAAAACATTGTACAAATAGTATAAAGATTTAAAATATTTAACGCGTAATTTATTATAATTATTTATTATAAGTATACAAAAATATTTGAACATGTGAAAGTTAGTTTAATATAATAGAATAGAAATATAAAAAAAGATTGCAAGTACAATTTTCTTCGTAATCCATCCCATACGTAAGATTATTAAAATAAGATTAGTAGAAGAAATAATAGCTTATAATGAATATAAAGCAAAAGAAAAAGAAAAGCAAAAGAAGAAAAAGAAAAGTATTAACAGAAAAAAGTTTATATAAAAGATTGTCAACTAACGCTGATATTGTTGCAACTACCTAGCCGCATCTGAGCTATTTGTTGGTTTGATGGAGGAAGATTTTGTGTTACTCCAAACGGGGACATAATTGTAGACATCGCTCTATTTAGTTTGCTTGGCGTTTTATTGAAACTAAACGCTCGACCGACTCTGGCTCTTGTACGAGATGCAAACCTGGAGAAAAATACAATTTAAATATTTTCTCATTTACTTTTTCATATACTTATGGAATTGTCTAAACGATCATTTAACAATATTAAACTTTCTTTCCTCCCTTCGAATTAATAATTATAACATGATTTAGAATAACATTTTTTAAATATAATGATAAAGTCTATTTCAATTGGAGGAAAAAAAGTTTATGAACAAACAGAAAAATCTGCGTTAAAATCCACAAACACTTTTTATCAGGAAAACTAGCTCAAGCAGACAAAATTTTACCTATTATAATACAAAGAAAATATAAGATATACATATAGAGTTTTTTAAAACAATAAAATATATTCAATCATACACGCACATAATTAAAAACAATAAAAATTGCACCATGGCTGCACAATAAAAGAAATAATACCTATTTAAAAAAAAAGAGAAAAATGTACATGAATGTATATTTTCTATTTTCTTGTGTGTGTGTGTGTGTGTGTGTGTGTGTGTGTGTGTGTGTGTTTATGTGTGTGTGTATAATTATTTAAAAAAAAATTATACGTATCATAAGTAAAAAATAAAAAGCCAGCAAACAATTTTTTTAACAAAGTAAGCGATCAAATTGCAAATTAAATTATAATGCAGAATATTCATTTATTCATGTCAGTTACGATAAATTAAAATCACAATAAGTCCAAAAAAATGCTGATATTCAAAAAAAAGAAATATATAACACTTAATCTTCGCGTAAAAAAATATAATAAAAAGCTTTTAATAAATAAAGCTCACTCAATAAAACTATGTTATATTATGTCTAAACTAATCAGAATAGTCCAAAAAATTATATTTTTAAACAAAATTATATCTATATTTATCATAGCATAAAACAGAATTTTTAAAGCAAAAGTTTTCAGTACCATAATTATATATTTTCAGTTATATATTTCAGTAGTAAAAAAAATTAAAGATCCTTTTTTTCTATTTCAGTTGCAAGATTAAACATGTTAAAAAAATCTTACGTACTTTAATGTTTTATATAAACATTTATTTGATTTGATTAACAAAACATTTCTATTTTAGTTTATATAAAAACATTCTAATTTTTGTAATATTTTTAAATCCGTTAATATAACAAACCGTACATACAATACTCGCATTTAATATCAATAATTATGCCACTGAGTAAGGAATTAAGAATAAAAAGCAAGTAAAAAAAAATATAATCAGCCTTGGTGCGAAAACTGACGGTAGTGGGACATGTAACGTGGTTTCACACATGCTATTGAGTAGGAAGACATACGGGTCCATATACTCCAGGTAAAAATTATGAAATAGGCTCCTGTAACCAAACGGTTTGCCCCATTATTTCTTTACATCATGCAATGTAATATGTACACTAATATATCTTTTGACTGTGCCTTGTAAAACCATATCGATATTTATATAGATAGTTTGAATATAAATAACATAAACTCATAAATTTACTGCTCAACAAATAATTTGTTCGCTTATCTAAATGCAAATAAAAATTCTAATAATTTCTGCAATAAATATTAGTTATATATTAATAACATTCTTAGTCCGTTAGTCGATATTCGTAATTCATTCTTATTTCAAGACCGTAATGTCTTACTAATACGGTCTTCCGATTAGTTTGTAACATCTTAAGGCTGTACTTAAAACGGTCTTGAATATAAAAGAATCGAATATGACCTTAGTTACTAATAATTAAGTGCTAAAGTCAACTTACATTATCAATCAAAATATTTGTTGAGCGAAAAATTTAAGATTTTTATTAACAGTTTTATAAATAATTTGAACAATCTAGAAGTATGCTACAAATAACTGAACTCTTCTATATTTCAATGTGCCCAAATAATAGAATCATCTAACTACAACAATAGAAGAGAAGAAATAAATCAATCCTCACACCTTTTAATATTTGATAAATATCCCATAAGGAAAAATTTACTATCCTAATATGTAGACTAATTTACTATTTAGTTGCTATAATATATACTATTAAAATAGTGATATATATAAACTGGCAAAGAGAATACGTAATTATTGTTTCAAAACACAAATATACTCACTTAATTGTTTTCTTTAATGTTCCTGATGCCACATCGCTAGTACCAACTTCAAGCTGATGCGAATCATATCTAATGAGTAACGTATCCTGATGAACAAAGAATAAATAACATAAATTAATATTATACATTGTAATATGACATTTAAACTAAATTTCTAATCCGCCAATAGACACAAGCAAAAATTGCAAGAGAAATTACGAGAGATGAAATCCACTGCGTTTGTATCGAGTGCGATTCATTTAACGCTACAAATGTTTCATTGATCAGAAGAAAGAATTTTATGAATTAATTAATCAAAAAATGTTTCAAAGCATTTGCAGCGTTAGGTGCACCTTTTAAGTTTATTTAACGTATTGCTAGCAGAATTGAGATGCAATGGTATATTAAGAAGGGATATGTCAAATGATAAATTTTGCTAAATTTCTGCCAACATTCTTTCAAGAATATTATATGTGTCAAACCTTGCATCAAATTTATAATTTTTTTTCCAATAAAATTTGCGATAACACTTCGTAAAATCTTTTCTCGACGGACTCGGGTGTTTAAAGATTTATATATATAGTAAATAATATATAACTTACAGCGTCAGCTACACGGACAGCAAGAGCCATCTGTCTGCATAAGGTCTGTAGGTAATTCGTTTTGTTTATTTCTTCATCAGTAATTATAAACGAAAAGAATTTTTCCTTCAGTTCCTGAGTCCCTCGTACCACTAGTGCAAACACTTTGTGACATTCTGAAAAAATTGTGTAACTATAAGTTACAATTTTTATTTTATAAAGAATGTGCATGTTTTACATACATAACAATATTTACGTACCGTCAGTTTCTCGTATATCCACAACTTTTCTTATAGTACTTAGGGACAACATTTTGATATGCTTATATGGTTTTCCTTGACTAAGTTTAATCGATTGCAAACCATTTATAGTATTTGGACTCTTTAACGAGTTGAAAGCTTTCGATCTTTTCTTGCATATTTCGAGAGTATCGGTAAACAGGAACAATACTAAATGATCACCTCGTCCACTAAGACCTTCCGTAACTTCCATTACATCACATTTACTGATAAATGACCTATGCGAAGAAACTAAATGCGGTGGACAATTGTCAATCTCATTAAAGATATCGAACATTGCTAATTGGCGCTCTGTTTTCCTTTTGTCTTCATTTATATATGTCATCACTTTCTTAATACAGCTAATAGAAGCTTCCAATGCACTATAGTCTGGATTATTTTTGTCTGTATGCTTAAGAATATCTATAAAAAATAAAAACATTTCGCTGATGTTCGCAAAAATTTGTAAAAAATAATATTGTTTGAAAGTAACTTACCGCTTAATAATAAACTAATACTGGGTAACCTTTGTATTGGTTTAATCAAGAGCTCCTTTAAGCTTTGTCTACCGCATTCCGGTATTGTCTGGCAATTTTTTAAAAAGGCATGAAATCGTGGCTTATTTTGATCACATTCTTCCAACATTTGTTTTGTATTTTCGAAGAAATTTACATATGGAGGATACGCTTTAACCAAATCGGGTTCAAACTTTAAAAATATTTCGCCAATGCTAATATCCTCTGTCCAATGAGCGGCACTACAATGCAATGCCTCCAACAATTGTTTATGAACGTCATAAATAGGTGGGAAATTACCAAATATAATTTTCACTTCTGTGCTATTTAGCAACTCTTTCCCACTTTTACCTATAAGATTTTCCAATGGCAATTTGAATAACTGTAAAATCATTATAAATGTAGATTATTGAAAATTAATAAAAATATAAAATGATTTACTATATAAATACTTACCGTCATAATTGTATTAAGGATACCTACATAATTGGCCTCAGTCTCTACCAATTCGAGAAAGACTTTATGACGTTGCGACAAATTTTCTTTAACTATCGGTAAATGTTCTATAGCAACAGATTCTACCTCTGAAATATTTGATAGTTAGCAATAAATAATTTTAATACAATCTTCCTTTTTATTTAGTTTATTTTACGAGTAAGTAAAATAAGATATATTGTATTTTTAAATAATTTTTGCAATATAATTTAACATTAAACTTTTTATATATCATATTGAAAGATACGAACACTTTTATTGACAGAAAAATAATTAATTTATTATAACTCAAAAAATATTGGTACTACTCATTACCGTTTAATGGACAATTAAAGAAAAGAAAGACAGCAGACTATAATTTATTAATGTATCAAAATAATAATGTATCATTTTTGTTATCTTTATTATAAGTGTTAATCGACATATATTTAAAAATTATTTCGATATTGTATTGTATCTATCTGATACATAGAATCAAATACGTGTAAAATTAAAAAAAAATATCAAATACCGTCTAGCAATTGTTTATCAGGACTTGCTGTACAATCTAGAAAGCTTCCACTGACACTGGCTGGTGAATCTGCTCCATTTTGTAACAAATTAGATAATGGACCACCTAACCAACAGGGGTGCTTTGACAATGTTACATTCTGTGATACAATCTGTTGACTGTCTCGTCTACCCGTCGCAGTAGGGGACAGAACTTTTTCTAGATACTAAACAACACACAATTCTGTTTATCAAACAATAATAAAAATATTTAAGAAATTTATGATTATTAACTTACGTGTTCAAATAGATACTCCTTTTCATCAGCGGCGGCCTCATTTTGTACAGATGTCCAAAACCATCCGGTTTTTACTATGAATGCAGATACTGACACTAAATTTGGTAATACATTTACATTGGACTCATCAACGACCTGTAAAAAACATCGAAATTATTATACTTTATTACAGTTTGAATCATTTAAAGTCAGCTTTATAATCACAAGACAATTATACAATTTGATATAATTTTATACATTTCTACATCACAATTTCCATACAAATTTTCAAAAGACAATATATATGTATTGTATATACCATACATTGATACACATATATACGTATAATGTATACATCAAAAACTTTGTATATAAATATTGTATATAATATCTAGATAAATATATAGGACGTTTACATGAGACAACATAAATATGTGAGCAATTATCTATATCACAAAAATTAATTTTTAATTTAATTTATTATTTTATTTATTTTGTTTTGCGTGTGTGTGTGTGTGTGTGTGTGTGTGTGTGTGTGTGTGTGTGTGTGTGTGTGTGTGTG